ATTTAACCCCGCCTTCTTCTTGCAAGACAGGGTTTGTTGCTACAACTTTGTCATTGGATATGCAGAGACATTGAATTTGCTCTTTTATGCAATCAAAATATTTTATTTGTTCATTTTTGAGAGGCAGAGAGCGTGAGAGGGCAAAAAAGAATGCACCCATCTACTGGTTCACTACTCAGATGTCCAAAACAGTCAGTGGGTGAAGCTGAGAGCTGGGGCCCAATCCTGGGTTCCCACGTGGGTAGCAGAAAGCCAGGTACCTGAGCCATCACTGCTGTGTGCCATATTGCTGCGCATTAGCTGAGAGCTGGCCTCAGGACCCGACGCTCAGTGGCGGGACACGGGCACCTACCCGGTAGGCATGCACCTGCCCCTGAAAGCATGTTTTCCCTGGTGATTTCTCCACATTTGTCAGGCTCACAGACCCTCAACAGTACAGTGCAATAAATTATCATCTGAAACCTTGCCTCCTAAATTCCATTTCAGTGATCTTTCTAGAAAATAGAAGCCAGAAACTAATATAATGAGAGGAGAGCCATCCTCATGGGGCACGCTTCTGACCATAGTTGAGGTTGGGTTGAGTCAGGTAGGTGACAGGGGGGTCAGAGTTAAGCGGGTTTACCTCCGGGAGGGCTGTTTATCTTCGGTTGTGAGCAAGATAACTTAGTCCACCGTGTTGTTAGAGTTTACTAATTTTAAAGTGATAGAAGAACACAGAGCTATGGCTTCACAGGTCTTTTTACTCAGGACACATCAGAGTAGGTAGCAAATGTTAAAAATGAGTTGCCGGCGCCACGGCTCAATAGGCTAATCCTCCACCTAGCAGCGCCGGCACGCCGGATTCTAGTCCTGGTCAGGGCGCCGGATTCTGTCCCGGTTGCCCCTCTTCCAGGCCAGCTCTCTGCTGTGGCCCGGGAAGGCAGTGGAGGATGGCCCAAGTGCTTGGGCCCTGCACCCCATGGGAGACCAGAAGAACCTGGCTCCTGCTCCTGCCTTCGGATCAGCGCGGTGCGCCAGCCACAGCGCGCCAGCCGTGGCAGCCATTGGAGGGTGAACCAACGGCAAAAAGGAAGACCTTTCTCTCTCTCTCTCTCTCACTATCCACTCTGCCTGTCAAAAAAAAAAAAAAAATTGAGGGGCCAGTGCTGTGGTCCAGCGGATTAAGCTACTGCTTGTGGCTCCAGCATTGGAGCCCCAATACCAGCTGCTCCGCTTCCCATCCAGCTCCCTGCTAGTGCATCTGGGAAAGCATAGGAGGGTGGCCCAAGTGCTTGGGCCCCTGCCATGCACGTGGGAGACCCGGATGGAGCTCTGGACTTCTGGCTTCATCCTGGCCCAGCCTCAGCATCGCAGCCATCTGAGGGGTGACCCAGTGGATGGAAGACCTCTCTCTCCCTCCCTTTCTTCTCTGCTTGCCAAATAAATAAGTAAACATTTTAGAAATAAAAGTTGATATAGAGAAAACAGTAGGAAAATATAGTGCAACTGTAGGCAGCCAGGACTGAGCTGGTGCTGACAGGAGTGGCCCCGGCCAGAAAGTACCCAGACTGCAAGGACAGAGGAAGAAAGGAGGCTAATAGTGAAAACAGCCAGCGCTGACTGAGTCGGGAAGTGTTGGGCCCTGCTCTGTCTTTTTTTTTTTTTTCAAAGATTTACTTATTTATTTTAGAGGTAGATTTACAGAGAGAGAGGGAGAGACAGAGAGAAAGGTATTCCATCCTCTGGTTCACTCCCCAAATGGCACCAAAGGCAGGAGCTGGGCCATTCCAAAGCCAGGATCTTCTTCTGGGTCTCCTGCACTGGTGCAGGGGCCCAAGTTCCTGGGCCATCTTCCACTTGTTTCCCCGGTCATAGCAGAGAGCTGGATCAGAAGAAGAGCAGCCAGGACACAAATTGGCACCCATAAGGGATACCAGCGTCACAGACAGAGACTTAACCCGCTGTGCCAAAGCACCAGCCCCAGCTCTGAGTGTCTTATATATTAACTCACTTTTCCAGCTGCCCCGGGCATTAGTTCCTGCTGTTCCTCCTGTTGGGAGGTTCAACAGGGACCAACCAGAAGATGAGCCCTGGCAGCTCAGCTCACGAGCAGGAGCACCGTTCTGAAAATCAGATAACAACACACAGGAATCCAATGTTCCCGTTTGCCTTTACAACCCAAGCCCCAGTTCCATGCATCCGTGTACTAACAGAACCTGCGGTGCCTCAGTTTCCAAGTATTTAAAATGGAACCAAGCATGAAGAGAGGCTTCTTCATAGGCAGCGTGCATTGGCCCAGATTTGGCATGTGGCCTTAAGCCAGCCCTTCCACCTTCAGGAAATTGGCTTCCATGAGCTCTGTCCTCAGTGCCACCCACAGCTCTGCTCAGCGGCAACCACCCCCTGCTTGACTTGGGGCAGAACCGCAGTCTGGTGCCGTGACACCCAGTAGCACCTGGTGCCGGAGAAAGTCACAGCAGGAGCCGAGGATGCCCACCTCCCCCTCCCTGGGTCGCACCGAGCCTTGCCCAGGGCTGAGCTGTTGAGGCTCAGCAAGGGGGCCACAGGGTCATAGTGGACTTGGGTAAGGTCATCCTGGCCTTGTCTGGAGAACAGGTGGGAGGCCAGCCAGGATGGGAGGGGAGAAAGAGGAAGAAGCAGTCACAGCCCTCCGGGCACAGGGAGGCCTGGACCAGAGGCCATGATGGAGATGTGAGTGGAGCTGGAATTACCAAAAAGTAAATTTGGGAGGAGCTTCACGCCCAAGCTGCGACTGTGCGAGGAGACACGCAGGTTTCTGGCTTGCTGCCTGGGGTGCCTGGCTGGACATCCTTCCTCCCCCACAGCTCATCCTAGGAGAGGCCTGACACACACCTTTTCCTGAATGAGAAGGAGGGGCCAGGGCACGGTTTGCGGCCCCGTCACTTATGGTTGCCCGCTGTCCGAGACAGTGCAGCTGGCCGCTCCAGGGCCTATGGTGTCCACTGCCCTCTGAGGGAGCACCGGGCTCTGCTCCTTCCCTCCCTGCTGGACGGGATTGCGCTGGTGCCGTGATTCAGAGGGAGGGACACTGGGGCTCTGTGAGGCTGATCTGTGCAGTCAGTTTGCTGAGCAGCCCTGAGCTCTGCAGAGCAAGTGAGGAGTCACTCAGGCTTCAGGTGTTCTGGAAATGGGATGCATGGCGCTGGCTCCTGCGGGGTTTGAGAAGGAGTCCAGGGTGGGCCCCTGGCTTAGCTGTCATCTAAGGCTCCACTTCTCTTCCCCTGTCATCCCCCTACCTGGGCCAAGGCCCAAGCAAGGGCAGTAGCCCAGCCAGTCCAGGAAGTGGGTGTTCCTTCTCTTTTCCCATCTCTCCATCCTTCCAGAGTTACCTGGCATTCCCAGAGAGCAGGATAAGCAGGATAAGAATTTTGTAAAATCAGGTGCCTGGATTTTTTTTTATTTAAATTTATCTGAAAAGCAGAGAGAACTCTTCCATCTGCTAGTTCACTCCCCAAATGTCCATATAAACCACGGGGTTGGACCAGCCAAAGCCAGGAGCCTGGAACTCAGTCATGATCTCCCACATGGGCTGGTGCTATGGCATAGTGGGTAGAGCCACCGTCTGTAGTGCCGGCATCCCGTATGGACACTGGTTTGAGTCTCCTATCCAGCTCTCTGCTGTGGCCTGGGAAAGCAGTAGAAGATGGCCCAAGTCCTTGGGCCCCTGCACCCGCATGAGAGACTTGGAGGAAGCTCCAGGCTCCTGGATTCAGATCAGCACAGCTTTGGCCTTTGCAGCCATTTGGTGAGTGAACCAGCAGAAGGAAGATCTCTCATTTTCTCACTCTCTGCCTCTTTGTAACTCTGCCTTTCAAATAAAAATGGGTAAATCTTTAAAAAAAAATAAAATAAAAGATCTTCCACATGGGTAGGAAGGACCCAAGTGCTGGAGCCATCATCACCTCCTGCTTCCCAGGTGTGCTGCTTTCCTCCCAGGAAGCCAGAGTCAGAAGTGGAGCTGACTCAACACTCAGGCGCTGCCGTACGGGGTGTGAGCATTCCAAGTGGCCGTTTAACCACTGTGCCAAGTGCCTGCCGCGGGTTCCTGGATTTTGAGAATGAAGAAGCATTTTGTGAAAAGTGGTCTGGGGCCATGTTGCTAATGCTAGGAGGGATCTGTTGAAGGTCATCAAACAGGAGAGGGCCAGATCCCACTGCAGACAGAAATCGCTGCACTGTGTGCCTGAGGTGTGGTGATAGGGCCAGGGCCTCCGCCGTGGGGCTCACAGTTTGTGCTTGTGCCTGAATTGTTCATGGGGAGGACAAGGGTGACAGCTGCTCTCTTCTCCTGTGCTCTACCCGCTGGCCAGCCCCACATCCTCATAAAGCAGTTAGTATGTATGCACTGAATGCCCGTGTTAACTACCAGCAGTGCCTTCGGAATAGTCCCAGTTCCTGGGAGATGAGCTTATCACAGCTGCATAAGCTGTGACTCTTGCAGCAGCTGCCAGGACGGCGAGACAGGGGCCTCATTCCCTCGTACCGCCCGCTTGGTGGAGGTAGGGACCGATACTGGCTCTTGTCTTGTCCTTGCTGATGACGAGACTAGTATTACAGGCTAGAACTTACAGCTTGGTGCTCAGCCAGCCACATGTCGCATCCCCTATTCAGGTCTCGAGAACGCAGCTACTTGAGAGCTGATGCTGCCCTCGGTCCAGACCCCAGACCTCCAGTGAGATTGCACGTCTGTCACCCTCATTATTTGGACCTCCCCTCACCACTATAGCCTGTCTTGAATCTGATAGAGAGGTGTGTCTGTTTTAGCATGTGTAAAGGCACTGGGGCAGCAAGAGGCTGGTGCATTGAAGGGTAGCAGGCAGGGTGGGGTGGGGTTGCTGGGGGAGAGCGAGGTCTGTGCCTGGGTCCTGCTCATTTTTGGTCCCGTGGAGATCACGGAGCTTTGCCTGCACAGTACTCACTAAGGCCCCTGGGCTTGCCTCTGCTGGACAAGAACCACTAACCCTTCTGCTCTGATCCAGTGCCTACACGGAGCCCTACAAGGTCTGTCCCATCTCGGCGATGGCCCCCAGAGAGGACCTCACATCGGAGGAAGAGCAGAGAAGCTCAGAGGATGAGGAGAGTGCTCCAAGCCTCACCCACAAGGTAGGGGCCCTGCGGGGTGTGGGCGTCGGAGAGGTGGAGGTGGGGAGAGGACAGCAGAGGCCTGCCCCAGCTGTTGGTGTGGAGGGAGCTGCTTGCTCCCAGCTGGACCAAGGGCTGCAGGCTTCAGGAGCGTGGCTGGTGACACCTGCCTCTGTGACCCCAGGGCCGCTGCTCCTCCTTGGTGCATTCTTAGGTCCTGGAAGTCTGGGGCTTCTCAGAGGCTTTGTGGGTGAAGCAGAGTCGAGCTGCCTGATTTGCATCAAGACAGACATCGTTCTAATGACCTTGGGTCCCTGGGCCTCCATTTGCTCATCTTTGGAATGGGGAGGAGGAGAGTGGGATGTTTTAAAGGCTAGAAACGAGTATTGTTAACTGAAGATAGAGTCTGATTCCCCCTGGGCCTGTGGGAGTGCCCAGAGGGGAGGGCTGTGCTCATCAGGTGCAGGTGGCCAGCCAGGTCCCAGGGACGGTGAAGACCCCAAGCATGGGCACATAAGTGCTGGTGCTGGGAAGATGTGTGTTCCACTGGGCACTGACCCACCCCAGCCCCTCTCCCTCCCCTTCTAGGAGCCAGGAACTGCTTCCCAAGTGACGAATTGCCTAGGGGCTTGTGGCTGACAGGTGATGTCCCAGAAAACATCACAGGGCACCACTGCTACCAGGGGCAGGTCAGGAAGGCTGAGACTGGCTTGTAATCTCCCCTCCACACCCCACCCCATCTTATGGGCCTGCTCCCCCACACCAAGGGGTAGCTGGGGAGGCAGGGGGCACAGCCCTTCCCCCGACAGCCTCCCTCAGGCCCCTGTCTCTGCATCTCTCTCTCTCTTCTTCCTGTTCTCCTGAGCCTGGGTCAGGTTTGTCACGCTGTGCGGAAGCACATCTTTGAGAAATGGAGGCGTCCCTCGCTTTGCTTCCATACACTTGATTTCTCTTTCTAGGGTACAGTCAGCTACCAAGCGCTGTGGGAGCCCTGACATGGGGGCTGTGCATGTCAGCTCCTCCCCTGCCCCAGCCCCTTCCTCCCCCGTTCCTTCCCCCTTCCTGGTCGACGTGTGTGCAGCACACGCCCACCATCCCGTTCCTGCCTGCTGCTGGCCCTGTCCTTCCCCTCTGGGCACTGAGCTGTGTGCTGACTGCTGCCCTCTGCTCTTCCGATTTGATACCTCTGACCCCTACAGCACCTTCGGCCTCAGTCCCAGGATCGCTGTTCCACAGCTGAGGGCACCAAGGCTCAGAGAGGTTGAGTGACTTGCCAGGGTCGCACCGCTGGCGATGGGAAGGCTTGAGGCAAATGCAGGTCTTCTGGTTCTGTGCCGAGGGTGGTTTGTCTTCCCCTCACTCCTCTTCCCACCTCTCTGCTGCCCACTGCATTGTTGGGGTTATGGAACCAAGAGCAGAGAGACAGAGGTGCTGTCTGATCCAACAGCTGGAGTGGAGGCTGGGAGCAGGCCCCGGGATAGGTAAAAGCCTGGTGGAGCAGCAGAGTCTCCCATGTGCCATAAAACCCCACCTCTGAGGGGGTCCCACTGTGGTCCCCCAGTTCTCTGTGAAGCCTTACTCCAGGGCCGTGTCCGGCCAGCCCTCCCTGCCTGTCAGAGCCTGGGCTTTGCTGGGTCTGACGTGGAGCGTTGGTGGTGACTGCTGGGCCATGGCAGGGTTGAGTGAGAACACAGATGTGCAAGTGTTGGCTACACAGAAGGGTAGGGGCCCGATGGAAAGAGGAGGCGCAGGAGAAGGGAGGGTCTGGCCTGCTTAGGACCACAATGTAGACGTGGAGCCTTGGACTGTGACATTAGTGGTCATCTGGCCTCCAGCCTGCTGCTGTGACGTCCCCAGTAATGAGGGCAAGAGGCAGGCAGCACAGGGGCCACTTGCTGGCTGAGTGCCTTCTTAACACTGCTTCTGGGTTTCCCCAGCTGTGCAGTCAAGATAACAGTGACCCTACCTGCCTCCTAGTCTTGATGAGAGTAAATGAGCCTGAGGAGGCTTCAACAGTGCCTGCCACCAGGGAGGGAGTACGCAGAGGTCAGAGGTGCGGGCGAGACCGTTGGCCAGGAGAGGCGGGTGGCCATCCCAGGGTCAGGTGGGGCCCGGCAGTGATGATGCTGAGCCAGCCAGGAGCATCCTGCTGTTCCGAGAGCTTCGGGTCAGGGCTCTTGGCGGTCAGGTCACTGCCTCCTGGCCACCACCGGACTTCACATCTGCCAGGGGCACAGGACTCCCTCCTCTCGCCACTTTTCTACAGCTCACACGGTCTGCCACCGTTGGAATCCCCTTGATGCCAGGCATGTCCCAGTGGATTGTCCTGGTGACCCGTCAGGGCACATGTTCCCAACACCGTGCACTCCTAGCTCACCGTGCTGTGCAGCTTGGCACCGATGCTCCCAGAGCTTTCTCTCTGTTTGCCTTCATCTGCCCTTAGAAGTAGAAGATAGAGTATGTTATTTTGTGGAGTGGTTACTTTGGCGGGAGTCATAACAGACTGTAAGGAAAACCCGAGTAACTTGGTTGGCTTTGTTCCATAGAATCTTAGAGATGTTCCCACACTGGGACGCAGAGCTCAGAAATGAAAATCTCACTGCTGCCTCGCCCTCCACTGTACGGACAGGTGGGCATTTACTCAGCACCCCCCGCTGGGGACTTTGGCAGTGTTTCTGCTTCAGTTGGCCTCCCGTCAGCGTTGCCATGAACTTGTCTGCACACTCCCTTGTTCACACGCCTCCTTGTGCCCCTACCTCCTGTACACATGCGTCCTCTTATACACACCTCCTCTTGCACACATCACCTCGTGCACACGCCTCCTTGCACACACTTCCTTGTTCACACGCCTCCTTGTGCCCATACCTCCTGTACACACGCGTCCTCTTATACACACCTCCTCTTGCACACATCACCTCGTGCACACGCCTCCTTGCACACACTTCCTTGTTCACACGCCTCCTTGTGCCCATACCTCCTGTACACATGCGTCCTCTTATACACACCTCCTCTTGCACACATCACCTCATGCACACGCCTCCTTGCACACACTTCCTTGTTCACACGCCTCCTTGTGCCCATACCTCCTGTACACATGCGTCCTCTTATACACACCTCCTCTTGCACACATCACCTCATGCACATGCCTCCTTGCACACACTTCCTTGTTCACACGCCTCCTTGTGCCCATACCTCCTGTACACATGCGTCCTCTTATACACACCTCCTCTTGCACACATCACCTCGTGCACACGCCTCCTTGCACACACTTCCTTGTTCACATGCCTCCTTGTTCATACGCCTCCTCATGTGCATATCTGCTTGTGCACACACCTCCCCATTCACACACTCCCTCATGCACACGCACAGGCTTTTCTCTGGGGTCCCAGGAACAGAGCCCCAGCTGTTTCACAGTAGAATTTTGGGTGATGCGAGAGTGGGGAGGAAGATCGTTTTCTGCTTATTGTTTTGTTCTCCAGTCTTCTGGAGAATTTCATCTCTCAAAGGCAAAGACCTGGCCATGCCTCAGTCACATTCTGGAGGAGCCATGAGCGAGGCTGCCATCCGCAGCCACCCTGAGGGCACAGACCTAGAGAAGATGCTGGAGTCGAGTTGCCCCCGTCGGGCCTCGCAGGCCTGTTTAGGGGTGCGGTGGTGAGCCCTGCCCTGCCCTGCCGGCGTGTTGGGGAGCAGCCAAGATAGGAGGGGAGAGGTTCTTGGAGTGCAACAAGAGGCCAAGCCCAGCTGGTCCACCCACACATCTGACCGCTCCCTCCTTCCCACTCCCAGACACACAAAGGGTGTAGGTTGAAGGAAAGAGGGAGGGAAAAAGGAAAAGCAAGAAGGACTTAAAAATAGCTCAGGCCGTGAAAGGAGACATTCAAAGGCCGCCCGGCCCGGCGGTGCTCCTTGACAATAAGCCTGCTTTTCAGACTAACGGGGACTTCGCAAGCTAAATACCAGCTCCCCGGAGACCAGCCTGGGAGCTGGCAGCCCCTCCCAGGTGCTTGCCTCCCTCGCCAGAGCCTTGTGGCCATATTTCCCTGACCAGTTCACCCCAGGCTGAAGCAGAAGTCTGGCCTGGCTTCAGGAAGAGATCTCGCCCACCCTCAGGCACACCCCCTCCACGAGTTGTCCCTGGCAGAACGGAGCCCACAAGCCTCACTTGTTTTTTATTTTATTTATTTATTTATTTGACAGGCAGAGTGGACAGTGAGAGAGAGAGACGGAGAGAAAGGTCTTCCTTTGCCATTGGTTCAACCTCCAATGGCCGCTGCAGCCGGCACACCACGCTGATCCGAAGCCAGGGGCCAGGTGCCTCTCCTGGTCTCCCATGCGGGTGCAGGGCCCAAGCACTTGGGCCATCCTCCACTGCACTCCCGGGCCACAGCAGAGAGCCGGCCTGGAAGAGGGGCAACCAGGACAGAATCCGGTGCCCTGACCGGGACTAGAACCCGGGGTGCAGGCGCCGCAGGCGGAGGATTAGCCTAGTGAGCCGTGGTGCCGGCCAACATGAGCCTCACTTGTAACCAAATCGCTGCCCCTGCCAGGAGGGCTGGCACGTGCCCCAGTCCTTGTACATGTAGCCTCTCCTTGACCACCTGCCCTAGGCCCAAGGGTCCACCAGAACCCTGGTTGTTACTGTCCAGCCAACCCCCAGCCCGAGTTAAATGTTACCATGCACAGACACCTGAACTCAGGTGTGTACACCTGCTCCCTGGCTCCCCTGCCATGTTCACTTCTCCCACCATGGAAGGCAGCTCTGCACCTCCGACCATCCCTGCGCTGCAGAGCCCTCATCTCCTGTTGCGTGTGAAGTCCCTCCAGGAACAGCGAGCCTGGGATCTCCTGAGGTGTAGTCAAGTGGTGAGAGAGCTGTAAATGCAAACAAAACAAGCCCGGGGCACAGAGAGGATGGAGAAAGGCCATCTTTCCCCCTAATTAAAAAAAAATACGGGGTTGGGAATTTGGTTGTGGCAGTTAAGGTGCTGCTTGGGATGCCCACATCCCGTGTCAGGGTG